TCGGTCTCGCCAGCGATGGGCCTTTGATGGGGGCCAAGGGGTCGTGGAGGTCTGGGGAAACATCCTTTGAAACGTCATGAATGATGTTATACTGCCTTTAGAGACGGTTCTCAACCAGACATCTATGGCCTCCTTGAGAGAATTATCGGCCGACGCCTCATCCACGGTGACGAGCCCATGATCCGACCTACCTTCTCCGACTCACCATGGGAGTATCAAGGTCCACGCACCCTCAAACTCAGCGATGATAGTCCTAGGCTCGAGCATCACCAAACCACCTGATAGAGGCCACAGAAGTTTGTAGCACATCAAGACCACTGCTTCTGCCCCCTCTGATCCCCGAAATCTCTCTGACCGTTCCGGTGCTTTCCCCCGCCACTCTGCGGCACCTCTGCGTCCGAATTTACTGGGGCCCGAGGGGTTTGAACTTGTCGCCCAACGAGATCTTCGCCGCTAACCGTCCCGGTAATGATTGGCTCTCGCTGAGCTCTTCGGCGATCCCCTCCGTCATCCTGACGGCCGTTCCGACCTCTTGAGCGCGACCCTCTGCGATGTTGGAGCTTGTTCGTCAACTACGCGACTCGAGCAGGACTGGGGCAAGCATTGACATCGAGCATCGAGAGGCTTTCGCATCTCAATGATGAACATCGAGATCGAAATACGGCCACGGACAACGTAGTGTTCTGCTGTCGATGTGCGTATTTCGCAGCAATGGTGGTCTGTGGTGGTTTACCCGTCTTTCTACTGTACCAGATCAGCATCGGGGAACTCTTAGTCTTCAGTCTCACTCACCCCTTACTAGAGTCTTACAGTACGTCACTATCACGCCGATTCGGGCCAGATGTAGGGAGTATGCAGTCTGGAAGAGAAGGATGTGAAGGACGAGTGCTCCATACTCACTACCCGAAGTTTCTAGAAACCTACCAGAGGTGCGTGTAACGCCGTACCAGTCAGTGAATCAGCACCGGTGTATGTGTAACCCCGAGGACCTCGTGGTCTTACTAAACGCCGCCTGTGCCGTCATTCTGGCCACCAGCTCCAGTTGTATTTGATCATGAAAGTGGGTGCCGCCCAGCGCGGGAGTGATCACGGTGACCGGTGATTCTCGTCATGGGTTGACCCTCACAATCTTACCATGAGATTTCTTGAAGCAGTCTCTGGAGCCATATAGAGTGTGATCCCTTCGAAGAGGAGAACTGCGGCGCTCTTGGCCGTGGACTTCACCTTCCATCAGATTGCCAGCCTTGACGGCACTTCGACAAAGCAATTGTGGTATGGTTGCGTATCCCTCATTTTAGAAACACGCGAGCGTGGCAGGAGAGCTGGCTGATCATCCTGTGTGAATCGCCGCTATTATCACATCCTGACGGTCAAATCCTTGTGTGGGATTGGGAAAGATTCCTCTTGACGTCTATTCCAAATGAGTACACCACGGGAGCGGTCTTGCTCATTTTTAAGGTGGGTTGGTGGTTCTTGCCTCCAAAGCTGACAAGGGAAGTCTTCATTTTGTCACAGTCTGCCATCATGTGAAAAAGTTCTAAATTGTAAGGAACAAGACATGAGGAGAATTGTCCTTGTATCAGTAACCAGTAGACGCCCGACAAGAGCGTGGCCGGAATCATAAGTGCCAAGCCAAAAGCCTGAAAGGAAAGAGAAGTTGCATGGCATCCGAGTACGAGATCCTTACTCTAACATAAGAATTGGCACCTTCTCGAATAATGAACGGTTAGCACTCAGATCAGTCAGGGGCCATTCAAACATGGGCCACTGAGAACGCTCTGGGTGAAGTCATTCTTTGGAAATGGCTGCTTGCTCCTTCCCTGGGAATACCGATTGAAGCCACCGCCAACTGTTAGAATACCAGATGTATCCCTGAAATTTCTCCTTCTCGAAAGGCTCAGCACGCGGTGTTCATGAGCCCTCGGCAGCGAAACGGGGTAACTATTACCCTACATTACGTGAACCGAACGCAGTACTTGATCCGCAATATGTCATCATCCCATCACAAAATAGCCACTGCCTAGCCGTATCACAACAACTCTTCGTTGATGGCATGATGTCTTACTGAATGACTTTTCTCCGTCCTGGTGCTACTATCTAGTTCGATGAGATTTAAAGTGTCCGAAGCAACGTTGACGACCAAACCCGCCAATGCAGAGCAATCTACCTTACACGTGTCTTTTGAGAGGATACGAGGGCAATTGTCCTTGCCGTAACCAGGAGAGCAGCATGAAAGGGGTACGAACCTCACCTACCAGATGTAAATGACGATGGCTTATCCCAAGGCGTTTCCTCTCCCAGCTCGCCATGGTGGCATAGTATCAAAAACAAGCACAGAAACAAGCAACGTGGAAGATAGTATACACCATGAAAGCGGCCCTTCCACCCTCCTATTTCCACGCCAGAGAAATAGATGGGCTTCGCACATGTCATCCTCTTGTCTCATCCTGGAATTGCAGTACAGCATACGACATCCTACATTCCGTCCCGGCCGAAAGGCTGTCCTGCTGACGTGTATACCAGGACGCCCACAATCTAGCTGCTGTCAGGTTCCCAAACTTCTCAACCAATTCCAACCGCGAAAGCGAAACAGGTATGCCTTTGTTGCTGTGCTCACATCTACCCCTCCGAGTGACACACGGTTGACTTTCCTCCTCTCTCGCAGAATCACGGTGGACACATCATTCAGATGAAACCACCACCATCGGATCTGACACGGTATGTGAGAACTCTGTCTACATGAGATTACGATCTTGAGATGCTAACTGGACTTCAGAGGGAGCAGGCACGGCATCGACCGCCCGAGAAGTATTGTTCAGACGCTTGCATTCCTGGGCAAAGACCTGTGCGGTCGCGAAGCATTGCAATATGGCTTGTCCAACAAATACGCAGACATGAAGGAGGATGAAGACCGTTGAATCCACCAACGTGTGCCACGATAACTCCCGTCTGATCTTGTCTACGGGACCCTTGTCTCGCTTTACAATACTCGACAGCCCAGGTCGATCTTTTGCCGATCCCCCGTCAACCCCGCTACCGGAGTGTTCTGAGTCGGACAATCACACACAGAAAGACTCTTTAGCTCCGCAAATCATCGAATAGGGCTTGGTCTCGTTCTGTGTGTCAATCACCCTAAGCCCTGCTATCGATTGAGGGAATCGGAGGGTTATCGTGGTTCAGCCATGGCTATTATGTCCTCCAACCAGTTGGATGGCCTCTTCGCTCGCAGAAAGCCAAAGTGTACGAACGCATTAGTGTTCGGGCCGGGAAACCCCATCTAGTTGTATACATTGTCGACCTCTTGGAGCAGACAAACACTTTTGCGGCGACAAATCACATTATGCTCGTCCCAGGTGGCAGAAGGGTGATAACGAGAGGAAACGAGAGGACCACGACGGACGATCATTCCTGCAAAGTCCCATGGTTGGTGTGCGCAGTCAATCACCTGAAGCCAATAGCCACGGCTAAACACCTCTCCTATCACCACTAGAAGCAAGTTGACGATGTCGGCATCCCACGCGGAACTGTGGCTTTCACATAGCACCTCGGTGCCGGGTATAAGAATGCAGACCGATTTTGGCTCTCAAGCGTATTGGGCGGGCAAACCTTGGCTTGACGACTCATTGACGGCGGTTTGCTGCTGGAAAGGTCATTGGTAGATGAGACAAGCTTGAACCTCAATCCCATCCGGATTTGGGTCATCACCAGCTATTGGGGATTCACTTTCACCTCCAAATTCCCTCGTCGAACCAAATATGTTGCGCGATAAGCCGGACAACCGACGAGCAGTTATCTGGGCTTTGCGCACATATTCACCATGAATCTGTTCTCCGCAGCTTATGGCCTCGTGGTGAAGTTCAGATGGCGTCCTTTTTGGGTTTTATACGTTCCGGACGGCCATTGGCGAAGGCGCTGGTAGACTCCGGATGCCGAGTATCGGAAACAAAAGGCCGATGTTTCATGGTCTCCTACAGTTCAGTACTCTCACTAGCGGGGTTGTGCCAGTCACAAAGTCAACATGGATTCCCAGAAGTGAGGCCGGCTACATCCGTTTCCCCATTTCTTGGGAGCGCCGCGGCAGAACATATCATTTCTCATTGTTCTTGGTCTCGCAAGTCACGGGAATTTTTATCATTGGCTTCCAATCAATCATTAATACGAAAGAGAACCGGAGCCTAACTTAACACAACGTGATTGGCTCTCACCGCAATGACCAGTTACTAGGAGAAGACAAGAAGGGCGCATTCCCCACACACAGACCTCGGGTTGTGTCCAGAAACTATGCCGACGTCGCATAAGCATCCCATCTCTTAGCTGACTACTCCTAGCCGGCCAAAATGATCGCCAACCTTTATCCTCACAGACTCTGCCAAGGTAATCATGGACAGGTTTAAAGGGTCTTTTGTGGGGTCGCTTGGGAGGAAATGGCAGCACAGAAAGAAACAGCGGGATAAAGCTGGAGATCTCGGCATGGTGTATCGCTATCTCAAGCAAACAACCAAGGCGGAAAGAGGGTGGAGTTCTCGCGATCCTCCGGCAGGGCGCGATGTCGCAACATGCAGCCGCAGCTTGTTCCTGTTAAGTTCAAATAAGGGCAACCCTGCATAATCCAGGTACAGGCTCTCCCCGTCCATCGACGCGCATCTCCCGAGCCCCAGGAAGTGTGGTCGCGGGCCAATGCTTCATGCAGCAGGCAGTTGCGTCTTGTAACAACAGTGCTAAGACTGCGTTTCATCCTGGATCGACAATGTTTCCGCACCCACGGATGACCCCCAAGGTTTACATGAGGCGAACAGAGTAGGCGCCCTAGATAATGTCTGGGCAGGTCGCCCAAAGGCAGGATGAGCGTGGCCCAAACTCTTTTTCTTTCCTGTTAAACGACGTTGTGGTTGAGCCAGGTATTTCCGTTTGGCTGTGTTGTTCTTATTCATTCCTTTCTTTCTTTCGATTCTAAACACAGTAGCGACTTACTATCCGCTCCTTCGAGATATTTCTTAATAATGTTGTCCAAGGCTATTGCCGTCCTGGCGGCGGCGACGTTGACGTCGGCCGCTACGCCCATGGGCTTTATGCCCCAATCAAACACTCCCCTAATTGTTTCTTACGGAGGCATCTCGGCACTGGATGGCGTGAACCTGCCTAGGGATTGTAAGTTTTCACACGGTCGAGACCAAAGAGCGAGGTCAACCTAACAAACACCCAATAGCTAGTCAGACGCAACCCACAATTGCGACCGAGCAGCAGCTCAAGGGCCAGTATGCAGTGATAATGGTGGATATCGACGTCCCGACCAACCAGCCTCCCAAGACCGGAACTCTTCTCCACTGGATGCAGACCGGCCTCATGTCTGCCGATACCCCGACGACGCTCAACACGACCGCCGGGCCCAAGAAGGTGTTCCTCATGCAGAACAAGATGAATGCGGCCGCTCTGGCGCCGTATATTGGCCCCAACCCGCCCGCGAGAGAGCCCCTCAGCCATCGATACACCTTTGTCGCTGTCGACCACACGATGATTACGCAGCAAGGCCTGATGGCCCTCTCCGGCGCGGCCCAGAGCCGTCGCGACTTCAACGTCATGAACGGCCTCATGGCGGCCGGTCTTTCGGACAAGGTCGTCGCTGGCAACTTCTTCCGCGTTACGAACGCCGGACCCGTCGGCGCTGGCCAAGGAACTGGTGGAGGAGGAGGCGGCCGCGGTAACAGCACCGGTGGCGGAGGTGGTACCATGCAGCCTAAGCCGATGCCGATGCCGATGCCGATGCCTGCGCCTCCTGCTGGAACCCCGACTACCCCCGGTGGCGGTGGAATGCCTGGTATGCCCAACATGCCCGGCATGAGCATGGCTCCCGGTATGACGATGCCCATGCCCGGTATGCCCGGTGCCAGCGCGCCCCCCGTTGGTGGTGCTCAGCCGTCAAACCCTGCTCGCGCCAGTGGTCCCAGTCTCGCTCCCGGTCTTGGTCTCATGACCATGGGTCTCTGCCTCATCGGTTCTCTGTTCATCTTCATGTAACCTTCATAAGCAGTTACGGGCACAGGAATTGGTTCGAGGTGGGGAGTTCATGGTACACCTGCTGAAGAGGCCAGAAAATGTTTTCCTTTATTTTCCTGGCTGCCGCTGTAAGCTAGCTGTGGAGGGATGCCAGTCGTATATAGGGTAGAGCAGCATGCCAATACAATAGCTAAGACGCGGCCACATTGCGTGCCGTTCAGTTTGTAGTCGTGATTAGCTCGTCTTGGTGATTTTTATGATCCCAGTACTCCGTAAATACATCCTGGTAATAGTTCGCTCGCCAGCAGCACATCCCTACCTGTGGATCGTGGAGCCAGAACAGGCCCACGATTCTGGCGCAAACTTGCATCTCCCATCGATAAACCATCCTGAGAGCGCAAATAATGGGTCGATATTGCCGACAAGAATAACGGTGAGAGCCAATTGAGTGCCTCGACTCAACACCCTGTGCCTGTCAATATCAAGAACGGAGGGACAGCGTGGCCGGGTCGGGACAAGAACGTAGCCAGCTCGGGATAAGCACTTGGCCGGTCCGGAGGGATTTGGGTCCAGTCCCCGAAATACTGGCTTGGGGGCCTTTCCTCCGCACGGGCCCGGGGTACTGATGAGCTCCGCGTCACGTGTGGCATCATGTGATCTCGCCACGCCCTTCCTTCCTGAGAGGGTCGTCACGACCTGCCCTCGTATGGATTCTTAGTCATGCCAGCGCCTGCTGTTCAATGTCTCTCAGTGCCTGGAAAAAAGTCCGCTCCGCACCGCGCGCTCACTCGCACTCTCAAACACAGCTTTCCCTTGCAAGTGTGCTGCTCAACGATCAATGTCTTTCTTTGTCTAGGTCCGTTTCTTGCTGTTTGTCCCTTGCAAATAGCGCAAGCGGATGTTTTTCCCCCTTTCACAGCATTGCATGAGTCACTTACACCTGGGGGGGGGGGGGGGGTTTTCGCGCGCCTAGTCTACAAGTAATGGATTGTAGTCGTCTACCGTCTACCTGACTAATAACTTGTATCCGCCCCGAGCGGCTAACCCGTACGATGCGCTTTGTCACAGCCCACAATGATCAATCTAGCACCTGAGGTGCCTGTCTATATCTCTATCTGAGGTGTGGTTCCTTCCGTCTTGGGTCTCCGTCCGGGGTTGACGACTTGGGACTTCCGGGAGACCCTGTCGATGGTTCGGGTGCTCTACACCAAAACGGAGCAGAAATGTCTCCGAGTTACACCGCGTACTACACCTTGGCGCCCCATTGAACGCAAAAAACCTAGGCGCAATTGTGAAGTCCGATTTCCCCCATCGTACACACAACTTTAATCATGAGTTGACGTACTGCAAAGGTCTGCCCCGTTCAATCTTGTATAAAGCAATTGCGTCGCCACGCTCTTCTCCTTGATACTAGAGGGTCTAGTTTGCCTATCCACCTCAACTCACACATCTTACCAACGTTTCGAAACGATTCAGAAACTCGGAAGAGCTACATCCTGGCATAACTGCAAGGGGGACCAAAAACCCTCAACACGACCTACCGCTTTCTTTCAGCTACCTTACCAAGCTCCTGGAGCTATAGAAGCTTCGTTACGCAACTTCCCTATCTTGCCTCGCACATCAACATACCGCAAGTCTCAACAGCCACGCGATAATGCCTACCCTCATCGTTCTTGGTGCTGGCCTTGCCGGCCTGCCCATTGCACACCATGCCTTGAAGCATACGGTGCCGCTAGTAAAGGACCTGAAGGTCATCTTGGTGACGCCCAACTCCGAGCAGTAAGTTCCCGTCTTTGGTGGCGTAGCACGCGCGCACACACACACACACACACACACACACTATGAAAGACGTCATCCACTTACACCCAAGCTTCATAGCTACTGGAACCTCGCCTCCGTCCGTGGCGTTGTGCCGGGCCAGTTTGGCGACGACGTGCTCTTCCACCCCATTGAGCCGTCATTCGCAAAGTATCCCAAGGAAAGCTACGAGGTCATCATCGGTAAGGCCGAGCAGCTCAACGATGACAAGAACACCGTCGACGTAGTGACCAATGACGGCAGTCGCAGGTCAATCGCCTACGACGCCGTCGTCATCGCGACCGGCACCCGCGCCAAGGAGAGCATGCCGTGGAAGGAGGTCGGCACGACGGAAGAGACCAAGAAGGCGCTGGGCGATATCCGCCGGCAGCTCTCCGAGGCCAAGAGCATCGTCGTCGCCGGCGGCGGCGTCACGGGCACCGAGACGGTGGGCGAGATCGCCTTTGAGTACTCGCAGAAGCGCAGCAAGGACGTCTACTTTATCTACAACGACGAATTGCCCCTCGGCCCTCCCTTCACCGACAGCGTGCGCAAGGCGGCGCTCAACGAGCTGCAGAAGCTCAATGTCAAGACGATCCACAACACTAAGGTCACGAGTGTCAAGACGGAGGCCGACGGCCAAAAGACGCTCGAGCTCACGGACAAGAGCGGCAAGAAGACGACGCTGCAGACGGACGCGTACCTGCCGACCGTCGGCGCCATCCCCAACACCGCCTTCTTGCCGTCCAACATGCTCGACCCGCCCGGGTACGTCAAGCAGGATAACAGCCTGCGCGCGGTTGGCCACGACAACATCTTTGTGGTGGGCGACGTCGGCAACCTCGAGGGCGGGTACGGGCGGTTGGCGGACTTGCAGGTGCAGCACGTGGTGAAGAGCATCCAGGCTCACTTCACGGGCGCACCGAGGCCGGCGCCGTATGTCGTCGACCCCAAGGTCGTGGCCGGCATCACGCTCGGACGCAGCAGGGCTACCGGCCAGATGGGAACGTGGAGATTGCCCAGCATCATCATCTGGGCGTTCAAGGGCCGGTATATCGGCACTGACTACGCCAAGGATTACGCAGCGGGGTCAAGAACCATGACGGTCACCAAGAACTGGTAGAGAAAGCGAGAGAGAGAGAGAGAGAGAGAGAGAGAGAAAGAAAGAAAGATAGAGGATGAGAGAGATAGAGACATGAGAACAGGCTCATGGGAGATGCATACTTGGGCGTTAGGCGCTTGGGATCAGGGGAAGGAGGGAAAGCTCTTCGTAATGTAGGGCAGGCAAGCAGCTCGACTGAGTCGAGCTCGTGGAGTCCAGTAATCTTGGCTTTTGATGTTTTCGGTGTCGTTTCGCGTGGCAATGGAGTTTACCGAATTCTCTGGTATGATGGTATTCCTCGGCTGATTAGACTAGACGGGATTGAATGATAATCTTATTCCCGAGCATGCATGATCAACGTGGTGATGGTAACACTGGAACGGTGAAGGTTGAAGAGCAGGCGGCCCACACAATCCAAGTGGGCACTGTGGATTTTGCAGAAATCTCTGCAGTGTAGTACAGTGCTAACGGACGGTGAATGGGCGCACACATTGCACGGTAGGACCGATGGGTCGGGCCCCCAGAACGGCCTAGCGCCGAATTCCAGCAGCTTCAAAAGGGCGGCTCGCTGCGAAAATTCTTTCTCTCTTTCTTCTTCTTTTTCTTTTCCTTAGATCAAAAAGTAACCCAGAGCTGCCACGACCTACACCCAGTCTTTTCTCACGGTGTCGCGTTGCCTTTTCCTCTCTTCGGAGCTGGATCGCTCTGCAGATTAAAATTCCCTGGATTATAGGAAGTCTCTCCCCAGGCCCATTTCACGGGCGGTGGGTGAGGGATGCTGTTGATGGGGGACATGCCACATTCTCGAAACAGGCATGGGTCGTAAATTCTTGCTCACGCTTCATGTGTGTGTTGGTAGCTACGATCGTCGAGAGAAACCGACGCTATCATTGAAATGGTGAGACCTGTGGTGCCAGGAACCCGGATAGCGCTCGTTGCTTGCTAGTCGTGGACTGGATTTCCGTTTGCGAATGGAAAAGAGATGTGATAGCTTGGAGGGCATCTGAAGTGCCGACCCTTTAACCTTCGCTTCTACGTTGGGTATCCAGGAACGGCGCCGGCAAGTGATGAGAGAATGTCCTAAGCCTCATCCCCTGTTTACCTAAGTTGACGCCATGCCGATTGGCTAGACCGGTTGGATGCCATGATTGCCATTCCCTACGTGCCGCAGCTGGGTTCAAACTTTGTATGAAAGTGGTGGAAGGCAGAGAGCATGCCAACAACACTTCTCGTCATTTTGGGGCTGAAGAGAAAAGGAAGGTGCAGTCACGGTCTGCACTCCGTACCTACCTTACCTAAGATACTCTTCAGCGAACCATGAAGAGAAGAAATGTGGACCCTCTGGTGTAGGAGTTCCTCTCGTAAGGGAGCTTTCGTCCCTACTGGTTCCTTCCATTCCCAGTGCTGTTGCCGTGAAAGTCGATCAAAATCCCGAGAGGACGAGACACAGGCGTGAGAGCCTCAGGTACAAGGGAGAAAAGATCCAGGCACGAAAAAACAGCGGTTTGGGTTCTAGACTGTTAGTCCCGAATTTGCACGTGTCTTGGTTTTTGAAGACAAGACGACAGACGGTTGAAAGCGTTCCCATAGGCCCTCCTCCTCGTTCTCTCTCTCTCTCCTCCTCATCCACTCTTTTCCTTCCGTTGAGGTGTAACCATGCCACATGTCTTGGCCCCTGGCTGCATTCTTGGCCATGCTCCCCGAGTAATGCTGCTGCGCGTCAACGCCCCGGCACCCGTCTGAGTCTCTGATCCCGGCAAACACAATATGTGCCCTTGCCTCTTTTCGTATGTCGTCGTTGCCAAGCGGGCGATGGTATCCCCACCTCTGGCAATCAAGCAACACTAAGCATTGGAAGATGGCCATCCTCAATCCGACTTCTCGGATCAGCCGCACCACCTCTAGCATCCACTCCGGCCCTCAAAGGTGGATATTACCGCATGCTTTGCCTCTCGCACGGGATGGAAAGGACATGTCTGATGTCAACGGCTCCTACCAAGGGGACCATCTTCGTCCGGACCCGGGCACTGAGGAATGTACCGCAATGTCCCGGCATTCCCACCAAGATGCTTGCTTTCATACTCCGTACAGCCAGTCGAGGAGGGACAACGCACTCAGGGGCCCGTCAGGCCGATGAGTGTTCCAGCTAAACCCCTTCTTGTTTCTTGGCTCGTCCTTTCGCCGTGGTCCTGACTGTTGCTGGTCTCTCCCTATAAGACGAAGAGGCCGGCCGTGATGAAGGAAACTCTTGGATTAGCCCTTTCCTTCCCCAGTTCTCTCTCTCCTCCCCCCGTCCCCCGGTCTTCCGCCCCCAGACGAACTCCCGCTCACCCAGTCATTCGTTGGACTCTGTCCCCTCACATTCGTTCCGTGATTCCAGGATAACCTGTCTGTCGCTCGTTCCGTACAGCTCAATCTAATACCTCGCTCGCCCATACAACTAATTCCAAACCCTCAAATCATATACGCCTAATCAACTCCTTCCCCCAAGCTAGTATTTAACAACAGTAAAGATGAGGTGAGAACAATATCCCCCTTTTAATACATCACCATCACCTCTCGTGTTGGACAGATTTGCTGACACAAGCCTCAGTTCCGGAGCCCTTACCACCTCGGCCTTCTTCACCTGCGACCCGGCAGTTACGGTCACGGCCACCGCAACCACCAATGTCTACACCACCGTGTACACGACAACGGCCCTCGCCGCCAACCCCTCCACCTCGTGGATGGCTACTTACACGGTGACTGAAGTCTGCACCGGCCAGCCGTGGGAGTACGTGACCAAGGACATCCCCCCTTGCTTCGCCCCCACCACCGTCTACTGCGAGCCCTGCGCCCAAAAGACCATCCCCATCATCTGCCCCATCCCGACGCCGACCGCCGACGTCGTCATCAACGGCAACGGTGTCACCGCCAACGCCAACCCCGTCATCACCGCCGCTCCCTACGGCGTCTACGGCTCCTACGGCTCCTACAGCAATGGCAACGGCCAGGGTACTGGCAACGGAGGCGGAGCCAACAACAACAACAATGGAGGCGGCCAGCCCGGCGGTGGTTCCAACAACGGTGGTTCCAACAACGGCGGCTCCAACAACGGCGGCTCCAACAATGGCGGCTCTACCCCTGGCGGCTCTTCTCCCGGCGGCGGTGCCGGAGGAAACGGCGGCGGCTCCAACGGCGCTGCTCCCTCTGGCAGTCAGGGCGCTGGAAGCTACGGCGTCTACGGCAGTTACGGCTCTTACAACAACGCTGCCCCCGGTGGCGGCTCCCCTGCCCAGCCCGGTCAGTCCGGTGCCCCTGGCGCTGGCGGTGCTGGCGGTGCTCCTGGTGCTTCTGGAGCTCCTGGTGCCGGCGGTGCTCCCGGTGCGTCTGGCGCTCCCGGTGCTGGTGGTGCCCCCGGTGGAACTCCCGCTCAGTCTGGCGCTCCTGGTGCCCCTGGCGCGTCTGGTGCTCCCGGCACCGGTGGCTCTTCCGGTGGTGCTGGAGGTGCCGGAGGCGCTGGCGGTGCTCCCGGCCAGTCTGGTGCTGGCGGTTCCGGTGGCGGTGCCTCTGGCTCGACCGCGACAGGTGGTGCTTCCGGCTCCACGCCGTCCACAGTCCAGGTCGCCTCAGCGCCGTCTCTCAAGAAGAGCCTCGGCCTCCTTTGCGGTATCGCAATGGCTGCCGGCCTTACCATCTTTGCTTAAGACGACTATCCTCTAGTCTTCCAATCATGCATCTCCATTCATAACGCCGTGTGCTCGCGTCCAAAGATCAAAAGAGGAGGGAAAAGGAAAAGGGGGTTAACGGAGAAAGGGTTCAAATTGGAAATACGATTTTTTGGATCCTTGTTCTGTGTGACACCCCTTTGGCTACATTTCCCGGGAGTTTCTCGATTTCTCTCATACATGAAAGAAAGTTGTCATTTTGTTTTACTAATTGGCGGCATTTGTGGGCTACTGCTGCCCACAGCGGAGTTGACATAGGTGGACAAAGGGCTCTACGGTGTTGCGATATTATTTTGAATCAATAACGTTATTTGTTTTTCTAGATTGAAGTACGAATACAGGTTTTTCCTTTCGGGTGTTTTGCTTTGCTATGCTCCCCCCTGTCTCAAACCTTTCCCCTCCTTTCTTGACAGTTGCCTGCATAAGATGATGAAGAGGTTGTTGGAGTAGTTGATCATGAGGTGAGGTTGGATGCTAGTTGGGTTCCCCGCGCTTTGATCACCGCCAAGCCCGTTGACAGAATCGCGCTATGGGATGACGTTGCGAGGGGTAAAAGTGTGGTAGGACAAAAGAGGCGAGATGCAAATTTAAGCCAGCTTTCATTTCGTCGTGAAGGTCTTCGTAAAAAGAAAACCGAGAATGATTGAAATACCAAAGAAAACGCCGCCCAATTTCAATCAGAAAACTTGTGTATCCAGGCTTTCTTTGGTCTTTGTTTTCCTTTGCCTTGATCTCTGCTAGGTAAATTCTTGGTGGGCGTTGTTTTTCTTCTCCTTTGGACGCGCTTGTGTTTTATCGCAGCTCATTGGAGAATGCCGTCTTCTCCCTTGCTACGGTGCTGCTGGCGGATGAATTCCTCCACCTGGACGTCGTCGTACGGGCGTTCGGGTGGTCCTGGAATTCCTGGACGCGAAATCTTTTCCTCCTTTTCTTCCTGCGGGTTACCGAGGATCTTGGCGGCGGCTGGAATGTACTGTGTCACTTTTTTTTGTGGAAATTGGTCTTTGATGAGCTACACGTATCTCGACAAATTGGAAGGAAAATCCAAGGGGGGATTGAAGTGGTTAGGACGGAGCAGGGCTGGACAGTGAGGGTTTTGCGGGTGCAAATTGCAAAAAGGTCAATGGAAACTGAAGAGACGGTAAGGTGGTTGTGATGTGGTTCGACATGATTGCAGAGGCGGGCGGGATGGATGGGTGTTGATGTTTTACCAACCTTTTTCGACAATGGGGTTCTGCTTGGGCTCTTCTTCGGATTTACGGGCGTCGTGAGCCGCCTGATCCAGCTTCTGCTTGAAGCTCAACTCGCGGCCTTTGTGCGTGATCTGAGGCTCAGGCGCAAACTTGCTGTTGGGTTCGGCGGACATGATGGGTGGCTGTGCTGAAACCTAGGTAGGTAATTGGTGTCGGGTGATATGAAGGGAGGGGGGGTTCGGATGCGATGATGGCGTGGTCGTCAACGTGGTAGGGCTGAGACGGTGGATCGATGCGATATGAGATGGGCCGCGGAGAAGAGAGACGATAGTGACAGTAGGGCGATAGTATTGTATAAGGGGATACTGAGTTTCTTGTGAAGTCAAATTGAGTTTCTCGAGTGTGGCGGAGCAACAGGCATTGATAGACTAGAATGTGAGATGGAAGGAGAAAATAGCCCGACAGGGCTGGGGGAGCTGGGGGAAGGGGGTTACTTCAAGTAATACGGTAAGGTCGGTCAGGATCCAAACGTGGCATACGGTTTTGCGCGGGCTGAGGTGTATGGGGCCGCTGGGATGGATTCGGCTGGACCTGAATGCAGCAAAGCAGGACTGGGCCGAGAGGGGTGACAGACGGTGACCGCGCGTCCCAGCTCCAGGCTATGATCGCATAAGTCTGGGCGGGGACTGGACCTTTTCCTCCAGGTTTTGGCTGAAGAGTCGGGTCCAGTAAGGCAAATGTGTGCGATTCAATTCGATTTTCGGGGAAGACGGCTGATCTGGTGCCTGCCGTGCTTGCCTGGTTTGCTTGGGTGCTGTCGATGTGATGCAGGAAAGATGGTGTGAGCCATCCGCAAACTGGGGCCAATGACGTCAAACCGCCTAGCTCGGCACTGCAGTCCCCTTGGCTGCCCGCTAAGATAACCTTAAAATCCCCAGCCAGAACTGCGTCTTATCGGTTCTTATCGGATTTCTTATCGGACTGGACCGGCGCTCAGCCCGTCTGCGACCCCTCCATCCCACCACCACGCGACTACCCGCTTCCGAGCGGCGGCGCCATTTTCCTCAACCAAAAAAAAACTGGGTGGTGAACTGATGTAAGGCACTACAGACATCACGTATCAAAAGCTTAACCGCTGTCATTTTCCCAGCCGTTCTGTGCACAGTTCTTCTGTTCAATAGAGTTTACCGACACCCGCGCGCGCGCACTTTGCGACTTTTTTCTACTTTTGCCAATCATGGCGCCCATTCCCATCACAATCATCACCGGTTTCCTCGGCTCTGGCAAGACGACGCTGATCCTTAACCTCCTCCCCCAGCTCAAGGCCGCGAACCCGTCCTACAAGCTTGCCCTCCTCAAAAACGAATTCGGCGACCTGGCCGTCGACTCCCAGCTGGCCTCCTCCAGCGCCATCTCGGGCGTGCAAGAGCTTCTCAACGGCTGCATCTGCTGCAACCTCGTCGGCCAGCTCAGCGTCGCCCTCGCCGAGTTGCACTCCACCGTCCGCCCGGACCGCATCGTCATCGAGACGAGCGGCTCCGCCTTCCCCGCGACGCTGGCCCTCGAGGTCAACCGCCTCGCGCGCGAGACGGGCAACTACACCCTCGACGGCGTCATCAGCGTCATTGACACGGAGAACTGGAAGGGATACGAGGATACGAGCTACACGGCGCGCATCCAGGCAAAGTACACTGACTTGATCGTCTTCAACAAGTGGGAGCTGTGCTCCGAAGACCGCTTCGACGAGGTCCTCGACCGGGTGGGCGATCTCGAAGTGGATATCCCCTGGGTCAAGAGCAAAAAGGGCTGGGTCGGCGCTGACCTCGTGTTCGGCGTGGATGGCGGTCTCGCGCAGGGCCTGAAGGAAGAGCATACCACACACGATCACGACCACGAGGGGGAGGACCACGCGCACGACCACCAGACAGAGGTAGAGGTACTCTCAATCGAACTCAAGGGTCCCAAGGACGCCGCTGTCAACGCAGACAGCCTGCAGAAGCTTTTGCGCGCCGCGCCAAAAGACGAAGTGTATCGCATAAAGGCTGTCCTGACCGCTTCGTCAACGGTGAGGGACTCTGACGAGGATTCTCAGATCCCCACACCGCCGCACCCCAAATCTCGGTACATCCTCAACTGGGCCTTTGGTCGGTGGACTTTCACGCCCATTGCAGAGGGCGGGGCCGAGCATGCTTCCAGCGAGGGAGCTTTATTGCGTATGACTATGATTTTGGGACGGTATGAGAGTGGCAAGTGGAAGAAGAAGCTCGAGACTGGATCATTCCTAGAGGTCGAGGGCGGTGAGGGCGAGTTGATTGTTACAAAGATCGCATGAAAGAAATGAGTAGACGAGAAGATGATAGAGATACATACTTACACGACATAACAGGCGCATATGGGGGGCTTCAACGAAATGATGCGTACTTCGAGGTATTGCTATGCGCAGAGAGCAGAAAACAGGAGTTAGCTAAGAGCGTAGAATTTTGGATCAAGCACCACAGTTGAATGTGCTGTAAATGCTGCAAAGTCTCGAGATCCTGAGTAGGCCTATGAGTCGCCAGTCCGTTCCGTGGAGTGTCATTGAGAATGATTCAATGCGAACGCTGGTGTACCCAAAAAGGTCACAACACCAACAACTACAGACAAGATTTGTAAAGGAATGTGGTTGTTTTGACGAGTGATGTTGATTTCTTTTTTGTATCGGCTTCTATGTTGTACAAACCACCGGGTATCTCACATACTTTTACACTTCTAGACTACAAAGTTGATAGTCTTACCGCCACGAGCCAAGATGACTCTTCTTGGGGAAGTGACATTGAACTGGCCTCCAGTAAACTTGGCCTTGCCCTCATCAGACTTTAGAACCTCAGCGACCATCCAGTCGCGCAATGCCTCTCCCTCCAGACTAGATGGGGGGTTGGGGACTTCTACAACACCGCGCAGCTTTCCGTTGATCTGGATAGCCACTGGCTGCTTACGCGGCTTCAAAAGGGACAACGTGTTGTCTTGCGCAGGGAAAGTGGTTTCCTCAAAGATGGAACCAGATTCGGGATGCAGGAGGCTCCAGCACTCCTCGGAGAATGCTGGTGCAACTGGAGCCATCATCCGCAGGAGAACGGACATCGCTTCCCTCTGGACAAGTGGGCTTGCTCCAGTGTTCTCCTGGAGGATATTAGTCAGACTCATAAGATCCGAAATAATAGTGTTCATCGGATAGACAGTCTCGTAGGACTGTGTAATAGAGCCAATTGTTCCTTGAACCGCTCTCCAGATGGCGGCGTCAGCATCCCAGACAGCCAGTTCCTTGTCGCCGAGAGAAGACAAGGTGTTTGAGCGCTCTTCCAGGTAAGCCAGAATGGGCTTTTGTTCGGCCGATAACTCCTGAAGTTTGGCTATATGGTCGTGAAGCCTATGCAGCCAACGCGTGACTCCGGCGATTTTGTCCTCGTCCCAGTTAAGAATGTCGCCCACGGGCGCTTGAAAGAGAACATGAGCTCGGGTCGCATCGGCGCCGTACTTGGATATGAACTCGGTCGGGTCCACTCCATTGTACTTGGACTTGGACATTTTCTCAAACGACACGTTTGCCGTATCCCCCGTCGCCACAACTTTAGGGTTGTCAGGGTCCTCCAAGTCAACCTCGTCTGGCTTCAGGAACTTCCCTGACTTGGGGTCAGTGTACGTCTTGCCGTGCACCATGCCCTGCGTGATCAGTCTCTTGAACGGTTCGTGGACTGCGTCAACTTCACCAGAAGCAGGGAATAGTTCTGTCGTGGCCAAGAACTTGTAGATAAACCTGGCATATAGAAGATGCAAGATAGCATGCTCAATGCCGCCAATGTACAGGTCCACTGGTAGTGATTTTGCCGCCTCAAGAGAGAGAGGCTGTGATGTGTTGTGAGGATCCGCGAAACGCGCGTAATACCAACTTGAGTCGACGAAGGTATCCATGGTATCGGTATCACGCTTTGCATGACCGCCACACTTAGGGCAGCTAGTGTTCACCCAATCTTCGGCTCTCTCCAACGGGTTACCAACCTTCCCATCCGTCCAGTGGTGGCTGACGTCGGGTAATGTAACCGGCAGCTGATCATCTGGAACAGGTACTGGGCCGCAGGAGCCACAGTGAATGACAGGGATAGGAGTTCCCCAGTATCGCTGACGGCTGATCAACCAGTCTCTCAATCTCCATTTCTCAACCGGCTTGGCCAAGTCTGCTGCCTCAAGTATGCCGACGAGCATCCGGCCCGCCTCGGTGGAGGATTTACCCTTGAAAGGACCGCTGTTTGCTGTCATGACGCCATGCTCCACGAATGGTTCGTTCGCAATTGCGGAAGTCGACTCGTCTTCCGAAGCTGCCAGCACAAACCTCACGGGCTCATCATAGTGATGCTCCTTCCAGAAAGCATTATCCCGCAGATCGTGACCAGGAACACCCATCACAGCGCCTTCGCCGTAGTCGCCAAGAACATATGGCGCAACATACACCGGGATGGATTTCTTGGTGTCGTCGGGAGTCTGCTCGTGGTATGCTAGCGGATTGACAGCCCTTACGTGCGGCAGCATGTAGCCGACCTTGGAGTCTTTAGGCAATGCGGGTAGAGTATCTAAGTAAGCCTGGAGCTCAGGGTCTGCCTTTGCTAATGATGTCACGATCGGATGAGTTGAGGCGAGGGCGAGATACTGAACTCCAAATAAGGTATCCGGCCGCGTCGTGAAGACTTCGATAGCTGCGTGGACATCGTGGCCCATGGCCATGACTGGAAACTTGATGACTGCGCCAGTCGATTTTCCGAGCCAGTTCTTCTGCATCGCCAAGACCCTCTCGGGCCAAGCTTCATTCTTGGCAAGCGTGTCCAAATCCTTCAACAATGCTTCCCTGAACTCGGAGATGCGGAAGAACCACTGCTTCAGCTGGCGCTTCTCAACCTTGGCACCGGATCTCCAAGAACATCCATTTGCGTCAACTTGCTCGTTGGCGAGGACCGTCATATCTACAGGGTCATAATTGACCTCTGCTTCGGTTTGGTAGGCGAGGCCACGTTCGAGCATCATCAAAAAGATCTTTTGGGTGTGTTTGTAGAAGTCGGGGTCGCAGGTAGTCAGTTCCTAAGAGATATCGTGTCAGCTAGAGTTGAGATGGCGAGCTAGGAAACAAACCCTCTCCCAGTCCCAGCTGCCATTCATGACTTCCATTTGTTCCTTCATCTTGGCAATGTTGGTCTTGGTCCAAGTCGCAGGTGCAACTCCACGGTCGATGGCAGCATTTTCAGCCGGAAGACCAAAAGCGTCCCATCCCATTGGTAGCATCACGCGGGACCCCTTCATCGCGTGATAGCGAGCGAGGACATCGGCAATTGTGTATACGCGCAGGTGGCCGAGGTGCAAGGTACCAGAGGGGTATGGGAACATTGGAAGTACAAATTGGTTCGGCTTGCTTGAGTCATCATTTGCCGCAGAAGCTTTCGAAGCGTCCCATTTCTGACGCCACTTCTTGTCGAGAGCGGTGAAATCGAGCTTGATATCGGCATAGCTCCGTCGTTGCGTCGCTTGAGCTAAGTACGGGCTTGCGAAAGACGGAGGTTGTCGAGTAGCTACAAGTGCTGGGAATGGTCGTGTGTTCTTCGCCAAGGTCGCGATGGACCTACTGGACCAAAGACGGCCAACATGTTTCGCGTGTATCAATTGCATTGATACGGTGTTGTCATTGTCGTTGGGCAGATGAAGGTAGGTAGTGGTCGTTGATGGAGGAAAAAAAAAAGGCAGCAAATTTAGAGTCATGCAACGGCGTCACGCTATCGCGGGTTGAAGCGAAGAAAGCAGTGGTCGTGTTTGCAGCTGCCGTGCAGCTCCATCAAAAACGGAGAGCTCTCTGGACCCTTGCATCTTCGCCCCTACCCTGCGGAATCTTAGTGGCAGACTGGCAGGTAGCCCTGCAGGGGAACGTCATTTGTTCCGCACACCCCTGGAACATATCATCCGTGAAGGAAGGTGTTACAGTGCTGGACCAACACCATGGCACGGGGCTCTGTCGTGATTGGGGAACCAACCAATGTTCAGGCTTTGCGATGCATTGCAATTCTTCGTCAGGCAAAGTAAAACTGGGAAAGCATGTCAAGAGCATCTTTTCGGAAACATTAAACAGGTGCATAGAGGTTGTCAACCTAGATAGGTTTTCTCCAAGGGCAACGGACAGTAGAAAGAAAGGGGCGGCGGAATAACTAAAAACCGTTTATGCAGCTATAAACACTGTGTATACCGCGCCTAGCCGCACCTTGGGCGCCCCATCCGAAGTCGGTGGTACAGTGCGGGCTGCTATCTCCAAAAAGAAATTGCCCCGCCAAAATCATTTTCAATGTCCCGCGTCTTCTGAATATCTTCGCGGGTGCACATCCAATTTGTTTGTTCTAGGGGAATGACGACAGCGCAAGCAAGCCAATCACGTCACATTCTGTCCGCCGAGACAAGGAGCTCTGTTCGATTGAGTCTTCTATAACCCCTTTGCTCATATTCTCATTCCTCGTCCCCAAGCTCCCCACGTTACCAGGCGGTATCAAATTCCAAGTCTCGTCCCCCGCCCTGCCCCTCCGTGGCGGTCTGATATCGACAAAGGAATCTCAAACGGTCTTAAACGCCGAGTAATCTTTCCACTTAACGCACAGCCAAGGAGCAAAACGCGTTAAACCCCAATATTATATCCCAATCATCGATTTTCAAGTAAAGAAGCTTTGACTCGTCACCCTCAAGATGGAGAAGATCACGGACAAGATCGCCGCTCTGCCGGCAGACGCCAACTACTTCTCCTTGGAGTTCTTCCCGCCCAAGACCGCCATGGGTCTTTCTAACCTGCGCGACCGTCTAGACAGAATGGAGAGAGCGCTGAGGCCTCTCTTCGTCAACGTCACCTGGGGAGCCGGCGGATCTACCTCGACAAAGTCTCTGGAACTGGCCGAGATATGCCAGAGAGAGCTGGGCCTCACCACCTGTCTTCATCTGACATGCACAAACATGAGCCGAAAGCTCATCGACAAGGCCCTGGAGGACGCAAAGGCTCTGGGTATCCGGAACATCCTCGCCCTGCGAGGCGATCCGCCGCGGAAGAACGAGTACCGCGATACCGAGGACTCCGAGACTGACGATGCCGAGGATTTCGTCTGGGCCGTCGATCTGGTTAAGTACATTCGCAAGAACTACGGCGACTACTTTTGCATAGGAGTCGCAGCCTACCCAGAGGGACACGCAGATGAGAGTCATCCCCAGGGACAGAGCTTTGAGCATGACCTCCCGTACCTGGTCGACAAGGTCCAGGCCGGTGCGGACTTCATCATGACCCAG